AGGCCCAATTCCAATCCGGCCCCTAAAGACTCAAGCCCTGAACCCTCACTGACTTAACTGACGTCAGCTGTAAGTGATTGAGTGTGAGAGTCTGAAAGGGCTCCGGATGCTACAAATAGGAATGGGACAGCACTTATCCCCCTCTCTACAAAATGTTGTTGACACTGGCGGCTCTGGGCATGATCATTTATCGGTTATTGTCAGCATATATTCCACACACAAAGAATATATATCTATATATATCTATAGATAGATAGATAGATAGATATATTCTTTGTGTGTGGAATATAACCACTGGTATTCCTCTGACTTCATGTGTGTTTATGTACCATCTTAAATCCTTGTTAATGTAATGTTTAATTGTTTATCTATCTGTTTTTTTCGCTCTCCTTCCATAACGTTACTGTTTGCATATCTGCCAACCGTGTTTTCGTTTTTTTTTTTATAACACTTCTGGTGTTCCGAGGGCAACCCCTGTATTTGAGTCACAACGATATGAACTGTGGGTAATTTCCTTACCGTAAGTCGGCATCGATGCTGACCTACGGCAAAGAGCATGGATACCAAGAGGCGAAGCTCCGTGGAATTTTTGCCAACAGCCACTAGGGGCGCTACCGCCATTTTGGACTGTTGGGCTTGGACTGTTGCGCCCAGACAACATGCAAGATGTTTTTTGTTTTTTTTCCCCAAACTTTATTGAACAATACAATAATTACAATATCAAGTAAGAATCTCCACTTTGCATTCTTACAAAAAAAATACGAACTTGTGCAAGGCAAAAAGAAAAATAAACATCAAGACTATCATCTCAGTAAATTAAGTGGATATATATAAACATAAATTCCAATAAAAATATAGATATATACTATGGCATGTTAGAAAATAAATCAATAATAAATAAATAATACAGGCAGTAACTCATTTGCAATGAGACAATCCTTCTCACCATATCATTCACATTTCAACCACATGAAAATGATGCTTAAGGACACATTAACAAGTTTTTTTTTGTTTTTGTTTTTGTTTTTGTTTTTTAGACATTGACATTTCGATCAGTTAAAGCATTAAAAATTGTAACATATTGCAAAGTTTTTGTATTGGTCCATATTTTTCAGCTAAAAGTAATAGAGAGGAATAAAAGATTTTAAGTTCGTTCTTAAAACATATTAGTGAAGGTCTTTGATTTCTCCATTTACATGCATGTATATGATATTTTCCCATAATCATGATAGTATTGATCATGTCAGATATTTCTTTAGCTATGTCATTCTTGTATATTAGGATTTGATTCATATCAAAAGGTGTGATATTCTCTATTGCAGTACTTAACCAATTATGCAGGTTCTGCCAAAATTGACTTGTGACTCTACATGAATAGAAGAGATGTTCAATAGTTTCAGGTTCTTCAAGACAGAAAACACAAGCTTCAACCTCAAATCCAAATCTTTTCTTAAGAGTTTCTGCTGTAGGGTAATAATTATTAATAATTTTATATTGTACTTCTTTTGCTTTTGGCGGAATTGGCCATTTTAAATATTTGAAGTATTTGAAGCATTGTTTATTCTGATTTTTGCAGTTCTAGTATAATCATGAAAAATTGATTGTTACATTTTCTATCACTAATATGCAGTTGATCAATTTTTAATTCTGGCATGACCGCTTGTATTCTTGATTGAGAGAGTGTGTTTTGTATTAAATGTACCAGAGCAAGAGGTATTGCTTTGCATATTTTGCTGAATTCTCTATAAGAACATTGAACATCAAATTTTTCTTTAAAGGTATTAAAATGTAAGAAATTTCCATGGTCATCCATTAGATCTATAACAAAAATCACCTTTTTATCGAACCAATCCTGTTTGAATACAGTTTTCCTATTTATCGTAATTGTTCTGTTATTCCACAATGTGGAGCCATGTGGAGTAAAATTATGGGAAAATATCATCTTCCAATAGTACAATACTTGTTTATGAAATTCAGATAGCTTCATTGGCAGTTTTGTAGTTTCAAAATCACATTTTAACACAAAATCCAATCCTCCAATTTTCTTAAAAATATTTCTGGGGATGTGAAACCAAATTGATTCTGTCTGTGACATAAAAGCTTTTATCCAATTTGTTTTAAAGACTCCTACCATTGATTCAAAGTCCAGTGTTTTCAAACCTCCTTCTTTATAATCTTTGACCAGTTGTGATTTTTTAACATAATGCGTTTTGTTTCTCCATATAAAGTTGTATATTATAGAGTTTGCCTTTTTGATGTTTTTAGGAGTCACATACATCGAGTAACATGGATAAATCAATTTTGATATCCCCTCAGATTTGGATAATAGGTTTCGACCAAAAATGGATATATCTCTCATTAGCCAGTGATTTAAGTTTTTTTTTCATATTTTCTATTTTTTCATTCATATTCTTTTCCTCTCTTTTTTTTACTCTCTTTTATTAATTTTATGCCTAGATATCTAACTTCAGATTTAACAAGGATGGACATTATTTGTGTATCTATACAAGGATATAGTGGTAGTATTTCGCTTTTCTTTAGATTTATATTCAAGCCAGATGCTTTGGAAAAAAGAGAGATAATGTTCAATGCTTTACAGACTACTGATTTGTCCTTTAAGAAGAAAACCGTATCATCAGCGAATTGACTAATGCGAAATTCATAATCAAAGATATTAATCCCTTTAAATTCCTGGTTATTTACAATCAGATAAGCCAACATCTGTGTGCATTAAATGAAGAGTTTTGGTGATATAGGACAGCCTTGTCTGATCCCACGAGAGATATTTATTCTAGGGGTCACAACATGCAAGATGTCAAGGAGAGAGGAGAAAAAAAGTAAAACAGTGTAGTGCAATTAACAGCAACAACTATCAGTGGAACACCCTGCACCTGGCCTTCCACCGTTTCCCGAAGGATCCCGACAGGTAAGAACTCCTGAGGTGTAAGTTTTAAAGCGTATATATATATACAGTACAGGCCAAAAGTTTGGACACACCTTCTCATTCAATGCGTTTTCTTTATTTTCATGACTATTTACATTGTAGATTCTCACTGAAGGCATCAAAACTATGAATGAACACATGTGGAGTTATGTACTTAACAAAAAAAGGTCAAATAACTGAAAACATGTTTTATATTCTAGTTTCTTCAAAATAGCCACCCTTTGCTCTGATTACTGCTTTGCACACTCTTGGCATTGTCTCCATGAGTCCCGCATCAAAGGGACAAAATATATGTAGATAAGAACACCTATTAAATCTAACAATTCAAGTATGCCTAATGAAATTCACCAAATGTGTAAATTAATATTAGTGACAGACTATTTATCACATTTACTGATTCCTATGTAAAGTTCAGATGATGCATTTAATCAAACTATTTAACGTCAATCATCGCATTTATCGCATAATTGATTGTAGATTATGACATTTCCGAAATGATCAGTTTATAGGAAATAATCACATTACATTTGTGTATTGATTGTAGAAAATTCCATTTAGCAAATCCATCAGTTCAGTGGAGATGAGGAAACCTATTAAGTGAATGCAGGTGATAGTGAATCAATTATCTATTTCTCATGATTTGGGAGTCAATTGTAAGCTCTATCCCTCATTATATCAAAATAAGGAAAATCCCCTTAAATGTATGGAATGTGCTATAGGATGAGGAACAGACAAACCACAATGGTGTGTGTCCCATTTTAATGTGGTTGCTTTGTGTCATGGTTAATTCATAAATATAAAAGATAACCTATGTTAATGAGAGCAAATCAAGCCCTATGCATGATGTATGGTGATGCTAGAAATAATCAAAATGAATAGAAAATACACCCTTTTTACCTCTCTGCAAACAGTTGCCTTACTTAGCCTCTCAGCATCACCAACACTATACAGGAATGTACCGCTAGCAAAGAACCTCAGTGCAACACAGACTGACTACACAGTGGTCAGAGACTGGCTGTGGCGTGTGACCTTTATAATGTGTGGTTCCAGCAAGCTGCACAGATACACTATGCTTTGCCTGCTGAACCGGTACTTCCCCCACAGGTAGGAGTCCGTCTGTATCAATGGGTTGGTCCTGTCCTGGAAGACCCTTGGGGCTGGTGGTGGTTGGAAGGCCCACTGGACAATGTGGGCCTCCTCATCAACAGGATCCTCGATGAAGGGGCATGCCATTATTTCCTTATTTACTCTC